CATCTTGGCAAGGTATACGCCGGTGGCGGCCATCTTGGTTAGGGACGACATTGACACCGTCTGAGTGAGGGACACGAGGGCGGCCATCTTGGTAAAGGAAGGCAGTGTGGCTGTAATGGTGTCTGAAGCACTCGCTTTGCAAGCGAGAGACCTGAGTTCAGTTCCAGGCAGGTCAGGGCGAAACCTTGGGCAAGTTTCCTTACTCCACACAGAGCCTAATAATAATCCCTCCAAAAAAACAAAAAACAATCGGTCATTTTCAATCCACGACTGTTTGTGGGACATTGCTGTGCGCAATTGGCTGCCGCGTTCGCCCAGAAATATACAGTCACTTCACTTTCCAGTGTGTTCTGTGAAGCGCTTTGGGCCGTCCTCCCGACGTGAAAAGCGTTATATCAAGTGCAAGTATTATTATTATTATAAAGGTGTGTTTTACCTGCTGGGCCCTCGGGGGGCGCGGGTGGAGGGGGAGGAGCTCAGCTCAACATCACCCGGATCTTAGCATCTTTCTCCATCTTCAAAATGGAATCATCAGATCACTTTCTGGGGATAATAATCCCTTCGGAATAATAATAATAATAATAATTTGGTCACTTCAACCCCCGGCTGTTTGTGGGGGCGTCGCTGGGCGCCATCGGCTGCCGCGTTTTGCTCAGAAAACACAACAACAACAACAAACATTTTCTACTGCGCCTGAGTTTCACATCAGGAGGACGTCCCAAGGCACTGCACAGTCAGGGATTTGGCCCCGAGGGATGGAGGCAGATAGAGAGAGACTGAGAGGAACAGAGTGTGTGAGAGAGAGAGACCGAGAGAGTCGGGGATTTGGACCCAAGCTGGCCGTTGGGATCACGAAGGAGTGGAGGGTTGAGAGGTGGGGGTAGGAGGGTGACCAAAAGCGCCGTCGGTCGAAGAGGAGTGTCTTGAGATGTACCTTGAAGGAGGTGAGGAGGGGACGATATAGGCGGAGGGCACCGTAGGATGGAGCTGCAGGACCAACCGCCATTGATGAGGTGGGGCACGTGAAGCAGGCTGGAGCCTGCGGAGCGGAGCGAGCGTACAGGTTGGTAAGGGGTTAGGAGGTCACAGAGGTGGGGGGGGGGGCGAAAGCCATGGAGGGCTTTGAAGGTGAGGACCAGGATATTGAACCGTATCCTCTATGTAATGGGAAGCTGGTGGAGTTGGACGAGGACGGTGGTGATGGGGCAAGTTGGGGTAAGTGTGCGCGACGGGGAAACATTGGTAGGTAAGAGCTGTGTGAGTGGGACTGGTTGGGGTGAGAGCGGGGGAGTGGAAATATTTGGGGTAACAGCAGGGGGACTACTTGGGGTAAGAAGGGGAAAGTGGGATGAGTTGGGTACTGTCCCGCACCAGGCTTCGCGACCACATCACTCCCACCCTCGCTCCCCTCCACTGGCTCCCCATCCCCCAGAGGATCCAATTCAAGATCCTCATCCTCACCTTCAAGGCCATTCACGGCCTCGCTCCCTCCTACCTCTCCAACCTACTATCCCCCTACTTACCTACCCGTACCCTCCGTTCCTCTGGCTCCGGTCTGCTCCACATCCCCCGCCCCAACCACCCTACCATCGGTGGTCGGGCCTTCAGCCTCTCAGCCCCGAGGCTCTGGAACTCTATCCCCAGTGCCTTCGCCGCCTCCTCCCTTTCCTCCTTCAAGGCCGGTCTCAAGACCTTTCTCTTTGACCTTCAGCCTTCAGCTCCACTCTCGACTCTCTACCCCCTCCTCGCTCCGTCCCTTCCCTCCCCTCATCCTGACCATCTCCACCCCAATGCTCGGTTCCTGACCCAACTGTACAGCGCCTCGCGATGTCCTTCCGACGTGAATGGTGCTCTATAAATGCAATCTTGTTGTTGTTGTTGCTCTCTCTCACACACACACACACATACTGACTGCTCTCCCCACACACACACTGACTGCTCTCTCACACACACACACACCACACACACACTGACTGCTCTCTCTCACACACACACACTGACTGCTCTCACACACACACACTGACGGCTCTCACACACACACTGACTGCTCTCACACACACACACTGACGGCTCTCACACACACACTGACTGCTCTCACACACACGTACAAACACACACTTACTAACTGCTCTCCTACACACACACACATTGCTCTCTCTCACACACACACACACACACATTGACTGCTCTCTCACACACACACACACACACTGACTGCTTTCACACACACACACACTGACTGCTTTCACACACACACACACTGACTGCTCTCACACACACACACATTGACTGCTCTCTCTCCCACACACACACACACACTGACTGCTGTCTCACACACACACACACTGACTGCTCTCTCTCACACACACACATTGACTGCTCTCACACACACACACACACTGACTGCTTTCACACACACACACACTGACTGCTCTCACACACACACACACACACACACACTGACTGCTCTCTCTCTCACACACACACACTGACTTCTCTCTCTCACACACACACACTGACTGCTCCCTCTCACACACACACATTGACTGCTCTCTCACACACACACACACACACACTGACTGCTTTCACACACACACACTGACTGCTTTCACACACACACACACTGACTGCTCTCACACACACACACACACTGACTGCTCTCACACACACACACTAACTGCTCTCACAACACACACACTGACTGCTCTCTCTCACACACACACACACTGACTGCTCTCTCTCACACACACACACACTGACTGCTCTCACACACACACACACTGACTGCTCTCATACACACACTGACTGCTCTCTCACACACACACACACTGACTGCTCTCTCTCACACACACACACTGACTGCTCTCTCTCACACACACACTGACTGCTCACACACACACACTGACTGCTCACACACACACACTGACTGCTCTCTCTCACACACACACACTGACTGCTCTCTCACACACACACACTGACTGCTCTCTCACACACACACACACATTGACTGCTCTCACACACACACACACACTGACTGCTTTCACACACACACTGACTGCTCTCACACACACACACACTGACTGCCTCTCTCACACACACACACTGACTGTCACACACACACACACACACACACACTGACTGTCACACACACACACACACTGACTGCCTCTCACACACACACACTGACTGTCACACACACACTGACTGTCTCTCACATACACACACTGACTGCTCTCTCTCACACACACACACTGACTGCTCTCTCTCACACACACACACACTGACTGCTCTCACACACACACACATACTGACTGCTCTCACACACACACACTGACTGCTCTCTCACACACACACTGACTGCTCACATACACACACTGACTGCTCTCTCTCACACACACACACTGACTGCTCTCTCACACACACACACACTGACTGCTCTCTCTCACACACACACACTGACTGCTCACACACACACTGACTGCTCTCTCTCACACACACACTGACTGCTCTCTCTCACACACACACACATTGACTGCTCTCACACACACACATACTGACTGCTCTCACACACACACACTGACTGCTCTCACACACACATACACACACTGACTCCTCTCTCTCACACACACACACACACTGACTGCTCTCTCTCACACACACACACACTGACTGCTCTCTCTCACACACATACTGACTGCTCTCACACACACATACACACACTGACTGCTCTCTCACACACACACACACTGACTGCTCTCTCTCACGCACACACACTGACTGCTCTCACACACACACACTGACTGCTCTCTCTCTCACACACACACTGACTGCTCTCACTCACACACACACTGACTGCTCTCACTCACACACACACTGACTGCTCTCACACACACATACACACAGTGACTCCTCTCTCTCTCACACACACACACACTGACTGCTCTCTCTCACACACACACTGACTGCTCTCACACACACGTACACACACTGACTGCTCTCTCACACACACACACACTGACTTCCCTCTCTCTCTCTCTCTCTCTCTCCTACACACACACACACACACTGACTTCTCTCTCTCACACACACACCGACTGCTTTCCGACACACACACACACTGACTGCTCTCTCTCACACACACACTGACTGCTCTCACACACACATACACACAGTGACTCCTCTCTCTCTCACACACACACACACTGACTGCTCTCACACACACACACACACACTGACTGCTCTCTCTCACACACACACTGACTGCTCTCACACACACGTACACACACTGACTGCTCTCTCACACACACACACACTGACTTCCCTCTCTCTCTCTCTCTCTCCTACACACACACACACACACTGACTTCTCTCTCTCACACACACACCGACTGCTTTCCGACACACACACACTGACTGCTCTCTCTCACACACACACTGACTGCTCTCTCACACACACACTCACTGCTCTCATTCTCTCTCACGCACAATAACTGTTCTCTCTGACACACGCACACATATTGACAGCTCACTCCCTCTCCCGCAAACCCACTGACTGTTCCCTCTCCTTCTCACTCATACACACGGTCTGCAAACTCTCTCTCTCACACATACGTACACTCGGACTGATCTCTCTCTCAGGATCTCACACACAAACACTGACGGCTGAGGCACAGAGAAAGAGACAGAGAGAGAGAGACGGAGACTAAGAGAGAGAACGAAAGAGAGAGCCTGAAATAGAGAGACGGAAATATATAAACTGAGAGGGACTGACACAGAGAGAGAGAGAGAGAGACTGTGAGAGAAAGTGCATCAGTTGTGGTCGCTTACAGCAGTTTAGCAGTGACTGAGGGTCGGGGCTCTCCAGCCGCCCGCACGGCCGTAGGCGGTGTGTGTCAATAACGGTCCCCAGAGCAGAGATGGGAGAGGAATCAGGATCAACATCTTTAATAATCAGTCACTACAGTGTCCAGAATATATTCCATATTACACAGACTGTGTGGACAGTCACTGCCTCAGTCCGAGTCTCACTCTCAGCTCAGCTCTGATTCCCCGCAGTGACTTCAGCTGATTCTCTCCGTCTGAACTGAACCCATTCCCCCACAGCCTGAAACACATTAAACAGGAAATAAACCCATGGGATAATGGTACAAACTGTAAACTGTTCGTGTCGCAGTTTAATAAATAAATAAATCCCTTCAAACTGTTCCCATTCTGATACACAGCCCTTTCTCTGTGTCTTTATCACATTAAACACTGACACAAACACTCACCATATCCCCCCCAGACTGGTGCAGGTCTGTATGAGGCGGCGGAGAGCGGAGACAGAGCCGTCTGTGAAGGAGTTAAACCTCAGGTCCAGGAACCCAGTGAGAGGTTTGTACTGAGAGCGGAGACCAGAGCATCAGTGCAGCCATCGGTCAGTCTGTTACTGTTCAGCCTTGAGATCAGAGACACAGAGACATGACAGGGATCAGAGTAAACACAGTGGGTATAACCCATATCGCTCACAGTTTGTTTGATGCCGGACAGGTTGCAGGAGTTCATACACACAAACACACCAACACACACCAACACAGATAAAAACATCGCCGCAGATACACACTTACTCTCACACACACAAATACACACAAACACATGACCCACAGAAAAATACACACAAACACACACAAACAGAGTCACATAAACAGAGAGACGCACACACAGACACACACAGACACACATAAATACACACACTCACACAGACAAACAAACACACAAACACTCTCACACAAACGCGCTCACACCGAGACATACACAATCACACCCAAAAACTCACCCACGCAAACACATACGTACGCAAACACACACACAGGAACTCACACAAGCAAACACACACACACACAAACAATCAATCATTCACACAAACGCACACACATATGCACACAAACACAACCACACGCAAACACACACACAGAAAAAAACCCACACACACAAACATACATGAACATTCACACAAACACATACAAATACACACACACACAAACACACAAACAAACAAACGTACACGAAAACAGACTGACAAACACGCACACACAAACACCCACAAACATACAAACGTACATAAAGACACACTCAAAAACACACAATCACAAACAGAAGCACAGCACATGCAAACAAACACACAGATATAAATAGACATACATAGATACACACAAACACACACAAATACACACACACACAAACTCACACGCATACACAGAAATACATAAACACACACAAAAACACTCACAAATTCATACACACAAAATCGAACACACGCCAACACACACTCAAACACACACATACGCAAACATAAGCACAATCACTCACACAAGCACACAATCAAACATAAACAAAATGGCACACAAACACACACACACATACATGCACATACACACATAAACAAACCCATTACCCACAGACAAATACACTCAGTCACACACACAAACAAACACATAAATACATACACACACACAAACACATGACCCACAGACAAGTAGACACACACAGACACACACGCTAACACACTCACGCAAGCACACACACAAACAAACACATGTCGCACAGACAAATACACACACACAGATACAGACACACAGACACACATACACAGAGAAACACACAGAAAACCATCACACACACTCACAGAAACACAAACAAACGGAAACACACAAACACACGCAAACATACACACACACATAAAAAAGCACACAAGTACACACACAAATACACATACACAGGCATACACAAACATACATAACCATACACGCGAAAACACACGCACAAATACACACAGAAACACACAAACAAAGACACACAAAAACAAACTCACAAATACGCGCACACAAAAACACAACACAGTCACACACATACACACACATAGAAACATAAAGACAAACAGACACACACTCAAAAACACACAAACAAACAAAGAAACACAAAATCAAATACAAACGCAGACATAAATACACATACATAGATTCACACAAAGAAACATACGCAAATACACACACACAAGCACACACAGAAAAACACACAAACATAAATACACATACATACAACCAAACACACAAACGTGCAAGCACACAGACACAACCATGCACATACCCGCAGACACGCACACACACTCGCACACACAAACACACACACATAAATACACAATAACATCAATAAAATTGCATTTACAGAGCGCCTTTCACGTCGGCAGGACGTCCCAAAGCGCACAATCAAATCACACACACAAACAATCGCTCACACAGACACACACACACACTTATGAAAGCACTCACAAAAGCACACAGACCCACATACACAGGCAAACGCATACATACACACAGACACACACACATACACAGAGACACGCAAACAGACACACACACGCACACAAAAGCATATGCATTGACACACACACACATATACACACAGAGACATACATACACACAGTGTTTTCATGGGATAATGTTAAAGTGTGGGTTAAGAATATAAAATAGAAGTGCAAAGGCGGCAAAGCTCAGTAACTGAAGGCAGAGCCCAAAACAATGGCAATATAAGGTCAGGACGTACAACGACACAGAAAGTCAGTTCACACTTACACACTGGACGGAGGGACTGATCAGGAGAGAATCAAATGTGGTTAAAGGGAGAATTGAAACATATTGTGGATATAACCCTATAAGGATTTGTTTTGCTGAAAAAAGACAGCTTTGGATGGAGTTGTTAAGTTGTCTTTAGATATCTCTCGGGAACGGTAGCGGAGCAATGCGAGTCACGACCAGTGCTGTAACAGGAATCCGCTCGGTACCGCTTTGTGTCTTGTGTATTATTTTATTGTTTCATTTATTTGTGTATTACATCATCATCATCATTACATCATTAACCTGTCCCTCTCCTCTGGCTCTGTCCCCATTCCATTAAAAACTGCCACCATCACGCCCACTCTGAAAAAACCCTCCCTTGATGCGTCGCAGCTATCAAGCTACCGGCCCATCTCCAACCTCCCCTTTCTCTCCAAGGTCCTGGAAAGAGTTGTCGCCTCCCAACTGCGCTCTTTCCTTTCCACCCATTCACTTTTCGAACCCCTTCAGTCAGGTTTCCGTGCTGCCCATAGCACAGAAACTGCCCTGGTCAAGGTCACCAATGATATCCTGACCATCTGTGACCAGGGCTCCCTCTGTCTCCTCGTCCTCCTCGACCTATCGGCAGCATTCGATACGGTCGACCACACTATCCTCCTCCACCGCTTGTCCTCCCACCTCAACCTTCAAGGCACTGTCCTTGAATGGTTTAGGTCGTACCTTTCTCACCGTCTTCACTTTGTCTCGACGAATGGCTTCTCCTCCACCCCCGCACTGTCTCATGTGGTGTCCCTCAGGGCTCTGTCCTCGGTCCCCTCCTCTTCACCCTCTATATGCTCCCCCTGTGGTGACATCATCCGCAGACATGGAGTTAACTTCCACATGTATGCGGATGACACCCAACTCTACCTTTCCTCCTCTACTCTCAACTCCACGACCACCGATGTCCTGACAGTTGTCTGTCCGACATCGAGTCCTGGACGAGAGACAACTTTCTTCAGCTCAACGTGCGAAAAACCGAGGCCCTCCTGATTGGCTCACGTCAGCGCCTCCGCACCTCAGGCGCTGACACCATCAGCATCCAAGGCTGCACTCTCCACCTCTCAAAGCCATCAGGAACCTCGGCGTTTTGTTCGACCTGAGCTGTCCTTTCTCCCTCACATCCGCACCACAACTGGCACCGCCTTCCATCACCTCCGGAACATCGCCAGACTACGGCACTACCTCACCCCTCACGCGGCTGAAACCCTGGTCCACGCCTTTATCACCTCAAGGCTGGACTATGGGAACTCTCTCCTCGCGGCCTTCCCGCCACCTCCCTCCACACTGCAGGTCATTCAGAGCTCTGCAGCTCATGTACTGTCCCGCACCAGACACCGCGACCACATCACTCCCACCCTCGCTCGCCTCCACCGGCTCCCCATCCCCCAGAGGATTGATTTCAAGATCCTCATCCTCACCTACAAGGCCATTCACGGCCTCGCTCCCTCCTACCTCTCCGACCTACTATCCCCCTACTTACCTGCCCGTACCCTCCGTTCCTCTGGCTCCGGTCTGCTCCACGTCCCCCGCCCCAACCGCCCTACCATCGGTGGTCGGGGCTTCAGCCTCTCAGCCCCGAGGCTCTGGAACTCTATCCCCAGTGCCTTCGCCGCTTCCTCCCTTTCCTCGTTCAAGGCCGGTCTCAAGACCCTCCTCTGACCGAGCCTTCAGCTCCCCTCTCGACTCTCTACCCGCTCCTCGCTCCCTCCCTTCCCTCCCCTCACCCTGACCATTTCCCCCTCCTCGCTCCCTCCCTCCCTCACCCTGACCATTTCCCCCCTCCTCGCTCCCTCCCTCCCCTCACCCTGACCATTTCCCCCCTCCTCGCTCCCTCCCTCCCCTCACCCTGACCATTTCCCCCCCAATGCTCGGGTCATGACCCAACTGTGCAGCGCCTTGGGACGTCCTCCTGACGTGAAAGGCGCCTTATAAATGGAATCTTGTTGTTGTTGTTGTTCCTGCTGTTCTGTCCTGAATAAAGTGACTAAACTCAACCAATTGGTAAACTGGAACCGGGTCATTCTAAAGTCGTTGTAGATAGTTGCAAATGTTTCTGACAACAGACACACACACACATTCAACCACAAACATAGATACACACACAGACACAGTCACAGACTCGCAGACAGAGACACACACACACACAGACATGCACAGACACACAGACACATACACACAGACACATTAACACACGTTGAGAGTTTGATGTAAACGATGGTTTGTGGCCTCACACTGTCACACCAATTCCTGGCACAATATTCAGCCGCACTGATCAGACAGTCACAATAAACACATTGAGATATTGGAGTCATTCAGACTCTGGAGACACAGTGCGTTACTTACCGCAGACTCTGTATTTTACACTCCGGGTTCCTCAGAGCCTCACACAGTCGCTTCACTCCACAATCTGTCAGATTATTGCTCCCCAACCTGGACACAGAGACACAAACACAGGGAATATAGTGTAACAACACAATACACATTGACATGTATATACAGGAGCCTTTCACATGGGGAGCAAGTCCCAAGGCGCTGGGACCAGGGTCACACACACACACATGTGCCCACACACACATCACAGTCTCTCTCTCTCTCTGATACACTCTGTCCCTCCCTCAAAACAGTCACTACGTTTGATAATATATCTCTTTCACCGTCTCTCTCTCTCACTCTCTCTGTCTGTCTCCTACCATGTCTTTCACTTTGTCTCACAATCTCTAAGTTTCTGTCACTGAGTCTCCCCGAAAACACAGTTACTACATGTTATAACATATTCCCTCTCATCGTCTTTCTCTTTCTGTTATTCTATCTCTCTCTCTCATTCCCTCTCTCGCTCGGTCTCTCTCTCTCAGTGTCTCAGGCTCTATCTCTCAGGCTCTCTGAAGTTGTCCCTCAGTCTGTCTCTCACTCAGTGTCTCTGAATTACTTTCTCTCTCACTCTCTTTCTCTATATCTCCCGCAGCTTATCCCAATCTCTCTGTCTCTCTCTCTCAGTCACTCTGTATGTTTCCCCCACAAAACACACATTCGCTACAGTTGAAAACATATTTTCTCAATCTCCCTCTCTCTCACTTTTTCAGCCTCTGTCCCTCAATCTCTCTCTCTCTCTCTCAATCTCTTTCTCAGTCTCTCTCTGTCTGTGTCCAACAGTGTCTCTTTCGGTCTCTCTCCGTCAATCAATATGTTTCGTTCACTATCTCTGTCTCTCTTTCTGTCTCTATCTGTCTCTCTTTCGTCTCTCCCACAGAATAGACAGTCACTACATATTATACTTAATCTACCCTGTTCTCTCTCATTCTGTCTATTATTCTCTCAGTCTGTCACTGTCTCTCAATCTCCTCTTAGACTCTTTCAGTCTCTCCCTGATTCTCTTTTCTCTCCCTCTTTCTCTCTCTAACTCAGTCTCTCTCTCTCATTATATTTCTTCTCCCCTAGTCTCCCTCTCTCTCTCTCTCTCGCTCAGTCTATTTATCACTCTGTCTTTCTCTCACCCAGTCTCCCTTCTCTCTCAGTCTCTCTATCTCTCTGTGTAACTCTCTGATCTTCTCTTTCTCTCTCAGTCTCCCTCTATCTCTCAGTATCACTAACGGTCTCTCGCGAAATATTTATTTGAAGGGAACATTAACCCTCGAAATGCGATCTGCAATTAAAAACCGGATTGCGACTGACTGTGAGGCAAACAGACACGAGTGGAGTAAGGAAACACCCGTAAGGTGTTGCTCTGCCAGGAATCACCCCCAGGCCCTCACGCTGGCGAGGCGGGGGCTCTACCCCCTGAGCTACAGAGCTCAGACTGCAGTGTGTGAGCAGACACAGACTAACTCAGGGCTGAAGCTGGGTACACTTTATTCTGGGTGAAGGTTTTGCACAGGTGTTTTGATCGTAAAGATACCAACAAAAAACTGTCTCAGGATATGATCCTGTCTCAGGATCAGGATACGCTGACATACGCACACACACAAACACATACAGACACACACGCGCGCGCGCATAAACACAAACAAATAAGTACACACTGTTCAATGCTGCTCTGAGCTCCCAGTGAGACTGCTTTTAGATTCACCCACAATTGATCTTAAAAGTCTCCCAGTGGATAAGAAGCTTCCCCTGTGCAGGAGAGAATGGCCTCCATTTCATACACACAAATCTCCAGTCAGATGTGGAACTGTCAGGAGGTTGGTTGGAGATTTTGAAGCCTAATGACAGGTTTGTGTGTGTGTCAGACACTCGGCTGACAAGAGTAGAGAGCTACAAACCAGTGTGTGGCGAGGTCGGGCGAGGGTGCGATTGACAAAGAGACACACACACAGACACACACACACACAGATACACACATACGTTAATACATGTTGAGAGTTTGATGTAAACGATGTCTTGTGGCCTCACACTGTCACACCGATTCCTGTCACAATACGCAGCCGCACTGATCAGACAGTCACAATAAACACATTGAGATATTGGAGTCATTCAGACTCTGGAGACACAGTGCGTTACTTACTCCAGACTCTGTATTTTACACTTCGGGTTCCTCAGAGCCCCACACAGTCGCTTCACTCCACGATCTCCCAGATTATTATAATTCAAGTTCAGCTCTGTCAGTTTGTGGTCTATTTTGAGATCGGAGGACAGGTCCTCGGTGCTACCAGTTGTCAGATCGATGTCCCTCAGCCTGACGATTATAGACAAAGAAACATAACAGGGATCAGAGTAAACAGTGCGTATTATTATTTATTACACAGCCTGGAGATGGGAGACTCGGAGCCATAAAAGGGATCAAAGTGAACACAACGCTGACTACCATGAGAGACTGCGGATGGGATGATTGTCTGGGACAGGAGGAAAGGGCCGGGACTGACATTTTTCCACCTTTGCATTAATATGTCGCTGTACGTGGAACAGACACTTACATTCAGGATTGCAGGATTGGGTGTAGTTTGGTGCAATTGGAGGTTCAGTGACCACACAGTGTGTGTTGGGGGGTGTGGGGGGTTGGAGTGTAGGCACCTTCAGTCTGGTTCACCGTGACTCTTAATTTTGATCGATATATAGTGATTTGTTGCCAACAACTGAAAACAAAACATTGCACTGAGAAAGCTGCTTGTGTTGTAATAGCCGTTGTCAATGTATTTTCCAATGCGCAAAACATTCCCTGGCATTTTGTGTTGACGGCAGTCAAATAGTAACTAATACGCAAATGTGCAACTAATACCTGGCCTCACAAGCGAGAGACCTGAGTTCAAATCCCAGTAGGGAGAAACCTTGGGCAGGTTTCCTTACTCCACATGCCTGACAAAAATCCCTAAAAAAAAAACAATAATAAATTGGGTTTGTGGGTTTTTGCTGTGCACAATTTGCTGCCGAGTTTCGTCCACAAAAATGCAGTCAATCGACTTTAGAGTATTTTCCGTGAAGCGCTTTGAGACGTCCAGAAAACGTGAAAAACACTATATCAAATTCAATTATTATTATAGGTGCTCCTGCAGTTTAATCAGCTAAAGCTGTGTAAGGTCCCCCATTTCTGGATAGGACAGCCACCAACCTGTAAATACTGTGGCCCACAGGGTCAGCAGCAAGTGAGTGGGAAGAATCTCTGCTCCCAGTGACTTATCCTTAAAACGCTGCCGCTGAGCCTGACCTTGTAGCTTTCAGGAACTTTTAGAACTAATATTGTCATAGCTGCTCAGGATATAATAATCTGTGTTTAGAGCCAATTATTGACACAAAGTCCACAGTGTGTTACTTACCATAGATTCAGTATTTTACACTCCAGGTTCATCAGATCCTCACACAGTTGCTTCACTCCACAATCTCCCAGATTATGGTCCTGCAGCCTGGACACGGAGACACAAACACATTGACATGTATATACAGGAGCCTTTCACGTGGGGAGCAAGTCCCAAGGCGCTGGAACTAGGGTCAGGCACACCCGCACATGCCCACACACAGTCAGACACACACACAGGCATCCTTCCTAAGTTGTGGTAGATCGAATAAACATCTAACATTTATATTAATTTCTTGCAGGGTGAAGTCTCAGAGCTTTACAGGGACGGGGTTGGAAGGTTCGACTGTCCCCCAGTCTCTGCGGCAACAAAATCAAATCGCAAGTTTCGGGACTTTCCTGTCAGGAAGACGTACCAAGGCAATGAGGGTTTGTACCTGAGCTGGGGGTTGGGATCAGAGTTGGGTGGAGTGCAAGGGATTGGGGTAGGAGGATAACCGAAGGCAGGGTCAAAGGGGAAGGTGTTGAGATGGGCATTGAAGGAGGCAAACGAGGAGGAGAGATAGCGGTTCTCCAGGATTGAGTTCCACAGGGTGGTGATGGTGGTGGTGATGTCTGACTGCGTGAATGCAGAAGAGTTGATGGTGGAGCGGGCAGGGCGGGGACGTGTAGCAGCCCAGTGCACACCGAGTGGATGGAGCGAACAGGTTGGTAAAGTTGGTAAACACCACTTCCTCCCTTGTACACACCCCAGTGTCCCTGGGTTGGCTCCTGCCCCCTCTCGGCTTCTCTCCTACTCTCGTTCCACCAGCTCAGGCACCACAGCACTCACTCCCCGCACTCACAGCCAAGTCTCCTCCGGCCCATGTCACTAGGCCACAGGCTTCCTGTGTCCTGATCTCATGGCAGCAGGTCCTCCCCGAGTACTCAGACTGAGCTCTCCCTCACAGCCCAACTTAAAGCCCCCCCCCCCCCCCCCCCATAGCTGCCTCTGCCCTGAAAGTCCTCAGAGCGCAGTTTACCCGCCTTCCCCACGGCTGCTATCCAGAGCCCAGTATAACAGTGTAAGTGACCTGGGTATGAGGACAGGGCAGTGAGACCAGCTGATGCCATGGGCGGCTGTTCAGGCCGGGAGGAGCCGCAACACAGTCTGTCAGCATCACAGGCCGAGAGAGTGAGTGTGTATGTAACATAATCAATCAGCGAGTGGCTGGAGAGTGTCTCCTCCCAATGATGGACCCCATCTCCTCCGTGTTGGGAATGATGTGGGTTGACAAGGGAGAGTGTGTAGGTGGGTATCAAGCATGAGATTATCTGTCCCCAGGGCCTCTCACACTGGAGCTTCAGGGAGGAGGGCCTGAGGGCTCGCCACATGGTGAGGGCAGTCCTCCTGTGGGGATATCCTTTCAGTGCCTTTAGATCTGGGCTTCATGTGAGCACTGAGTACTCTGGTGAACCGAGGGGATCTTTATGTGAGAGTGGTGTGGTAAGAGAAGATACCAACCCCGACTATGACCTGTCAGAGGCCATGTTGTGTGTGTTTATGGCCACTGTAGGGCACCAATGTGATTTTTTCCAATGTGAATAAATTCTACAGTGTGTTACTCACTCCAGAACCTGTATTTTAAACTTTGTGTTCTTCAGAGCCTCACTCAGTTGCTTCAGTCCACCATCTCCCAGATTATTTTCTTCCTGCCTGCACACAGAGACACAAACACAGTGAATATAGTGCAGCAATACAATACACATTGACATTT